ATCACTGATACAGATAAAAAGTTGTGTGATGGCTATGTCTCTTTGAAATCTTTTTATCCCAGCTTTTTTCTCTGAAGAAATATTTTACAATGCACCTAACGTTTGTGCATGAAAAGCTAGTTTTCATTTAAAAGCTGTAATGGAAAAAATATTTTTCTTTAATATGGCACATGTAAGATTGCTTCAGCTAAAATCCTCACAAGTTATGTTTTTAGTGACATAAAAGTGGCTGGCTTTATGAAAGAAATATTCAAGAAAATTATAATCCTCTGTCATAAAAATGTTCTTGCACTGAGCTGAATCAGTAGTCATACTGACGTACATCAGGAGATTTAATAGCCTTGCTGAGCGGAAGAGGTTATCAAATGAAGAAGAATAAGCATGTCGGCCACTAGTCTCAATTCAATTTGTTACGAATCTAATTGGTTGCAAATGAATTTATATTATAACCTGTTTAGATGTCAGTTTACTACTGAATTACGCAGAAAGTAGTACTGTCAGTGAAAAAGAGAGCTTCTTTCCTTATTTCCCATGCGTTTTGTACTATAACCAGAGAATTTGAGGACTTGAAATTTTGTGCAGTATCAGGCAACAGTTGAATAAAACTGTTCGGGTATTTGTTATATTGTAACGTTTGTGAAGTACTGATTTTATGGAGGACGACAGATGCATCTGCTTAATTAAGCAGAAGCATTAAACAGAACTGTGTTTTTGAATGCAGATACTTATATTTTATGGATGGTATTGGGTTTAAGGTACCCAAACCCTAAGAAATTTAAAAAGAAATATTTTTTTTCTAATTTCATCCAAACTTGTCTCACATTTGATGCTTTTTATGGTTCTATGATCTCTCTCTCATTATCCTTTAAAAGACCATCTCTTTAGGCTAGTATTTTATATTTCATAATCCCTTTTTAATATTGCTCAGACTTCATTCCAAAGCTATAGAGATCTGAGGCCTTTTTTTCCATCTTTTTTCGTTCTTACTGGGATGCTGTTCTACAACCTCTTTCCTGTGGTGGTTAGAAACATTTCTATTAATTTACAGCCTCCACTTATTCATGGCCAGGGTTTCCTCACTTCTTGTTGTGACAGCACTCTCATTGTATTTCAATAGCTGTTCATCTTTTCTTTGACTCGCTCTGTTTAAATCGCAGAGATATGTTGAGGTATTAGTTGTTTGGGGTTTTTTTGTCAGGCTAAACAAGCCAAGTTCTGCTTGTCTCTTGAAGTGGCCATTCATTCTGGAGGTCATCCTGATAGCCCTGCTCTCCTCTCCTGTGGATCAGTCTTTTGTGGAAATAACCGAGCAAGTTTTGCGCTATGCGCTAGATGAGGGCTCACAAGGTTTCCTGTTGTTAGTACCAGCTAGCTCTGTGGGACCTGCTTGGCCCAGTGCATCCTTTCTTATTACTTCAAAACATTAATGACTTGTAGTTGTCCTGTGATTACCCATATTTACAAGTCTTTCTTTTCTTATGCCACTCAGAAGGGAATTTTTTGTTTCTCCTGTTTGAATGGAAGACGTTTCACCTTGTGCATTTAAAGTAAATCCCTTCCCCATGGCTCAAGGTGTCCAGCTCTTCTTCTGTCCAGATCCCCCTCTGAGCTGATAATGCCTATGGACTTTGAGTCATTAGCGCAGTTCATTGCCATGGGTCTGCTTTGTTGTAGCAAGAACATTATTCCTATTGGTGTTTCCCGTAGTTGTTAATCAGCTGTACTAATAGACTTCCTGGGACTGTGCTTCCCCCTTCTTCACAAACCACCGTAAGCTCCCCCTTGGCCAATTATCCAATTACAATCTTATCCTGTTAATTTTTTCTATCCTACCTATAGCTCTAGAACTACAGGTAGGTGAGATTTACAGCACTTACTTTATCTAGAAAGTCGTATGTCTTGAAATAGCTCTTTGCAGGAATGAAATCGTTGACTCCGTGCTGTGGAGCAAGTATGTTGGTGCGTTGTTTGTCCTTCTCATGGTCCTCTTTATGTCTTGCATTTCTTGTATGAGTGTCACCCTAGTGTGGTGTGTAGTAAAAACCACCAGAAGCCACCCATTACTTTGGCATGCAGTTCGCTTGCAGTGTACCTGTTGTGACTGTCAGGCTGTTAATTGGAAAGTACAGTAACAGGTGTTATAACAACTTAGGTAGAAAACAATTCTTAGTCTTCATTCTGCTGTTCAGATGAACATGGAGCAATTTGTGTTCCTCCTCCCTGAATTTAGCCACTCTTTGCAGGGAGGCTGAAGTGATGGCAATGCAGAAAGGGGCCTGATTAGAGGCCGAGCTCAGCTTTTATTTTGAAGTCCAAATAGCTCGTTTTTCTGTCCCTCTTCGGGTGAACAGTTTCACTGCAGGGTTTTCTGAGAAGCCAGGGTTGAGTGCATTAGTGCGAATTCCTTTGGAGTAATACCCAAGGAGCCATGGTAATTGTAACCTTGGTGATAGCAGAGAGGAAGGCATATACCTCTGGGGTTAGACAGGGTCCCATCAAACACCAGTGGCAGGGCTGTCACCGACCCACCTGCCCTCAGCCTCCCACCAGGGCCCTGTTAGCAGCTGTGGGACAGGGCCTGCCTGGCCTCCCTTAAGGACACACGTCAGCAGTAAAAACTTATAGATTTGCTCATGCTTACCGCTCGTTTTAGCAGGGGAGCAGTGGCAAGAGTGCACGACAGAGCAGTGGCAGATAATTTGTGGGTACACCATCAACTCCTCATCTTCCTCTTGTTATGGAAGCCCAGCTCCAGGTCCTCCTTGGATGGCACAGACCAAAACGTGCAGGTCGGTGCGTGCCCTGCAGCTCAAGGTGATTCTTGGTGGCTTTGTTTAGGTGCACGGCAGTAAGATGTGCCGCTGCTGGCATAAAGAAATGTTCTACAGGAACATAACCCCTCCCTGCTCGCTTCAGAAACCCAGTTACGTCCTTTAGCTTTTTTCTCTTATGATCCACTCTGCAAGTTTAAGCACTCTATGATACAATTTAGAACTGCTGTGGTGTATTGTTAGTATCAGCTTAGCATGCTGCTCAGCATCATCTTAAATCCATACTTGATTTGTGCTTCTGTCACACCAGTACATAACTAGCTGAAATGCATAGACTGAAAGAAACTCATGATATCCAGCAAGTCACGCCATAGTTTTGAAAAGTCTGTTCAAAAAGCATGTCCTTAGTAAGAATTAGAGCAAGGGTGAGAAAGAAAAATATTAAAGTGATTGTGTTAAGCCTGTGGGATAAAGCAGATGAACAATATATTGCAAGATAAATCATCTGATCCATAGTTGTTGTTCATGACAAATGCAATATAATTGGAATTATTTGGTTTACAAGAAAGGTTATTTAACCCATGGTTCTTCAGTTCTTGGTCATATACTAATACAGTTTCAGCATGATTGTTATTTTCTGTCACTTAGTGGTTGGGGCCATCTCTAGGGAGAAAGATCAGGATTTAAATGCCCACTCAGGTTTTAAAGAGGGCCTTGAGCCCAGGCTTCCTGTGCTGTCACCCGTAACTACTGAGAAAGACGATTAAAAAAGGGTGGGTGATTGGATGTGTTTTTTAATGTTCAGGATCCTGTGCTTTCTTGGGGTTTCTGTGCTGTGAGTATGTGTTTTTTTCATGCCTTGAGCATGCCTGCTGGACTCATTTTTCATAGTTTAGATGCAAGATGACTGATTCTGGCATTGCAGACAGGCTTTGGTGTGAGTTAGGAGGCTTTACATTTAGGAGGCTTTACATTTAAAACCCAAAGTGCCTGTGGACTCTCAGGTACTTAAGCAGAAACCTCAGTCTTGAACTTTAAGCATTTAGCTACCTCTGCTATTTTGGGACCGAGGCACTGAACAGCTCTGCAGTGTTTTCCACATGCAACCCAGATTCAGTAAGCCACATTCCCACTCTTCGTCTGTGTGCTGCGTGCGAGTAGTGACACTGCCACGGTCGTCTGTTCAGCTTCGTTTGACTATAAGCACCGTTTGCTGCTGGAACTGCTTCCCTACGTGCGCATCCCCAGGAACAGAAGTACGTAGTAACAAGCTTGATGTTATAACTTAGAGTAAAGTAGTAGTCGGCACAGAAGCAGAATCACCATTTTGAATTCTAGTTCTCCTTGTAAACCGATTTAACTCTGTTTTCAACGATCCTGGTCAACATGGATGAGGGTCACCTTCTACATCTCTGTCTACTTCTGTACAACTTCAGCCAGACTGTTGTATCTCTCCTTTCCCATCTTGTATGTTGTCAAAATGTCAGCCTAGCTCCATCCCGGGTGCAATGGGGAAAGCTCCTGAAAAGTCTCAAAGGCTTTGGCTAATCAACTTCAGATTCCTATAGATTTAGCTTAGAAAATATAAATTGACAGATGGGATTAAAAACTCTGCTTTTGCCAGGAGCAGATGGTTCTGGGGATCCCTCCAATTCATGCTTGGTGAGTGATGTTTATCAGCTAAATGCAAGATCTGATCGGAAAAAAAAGTATCTTGTAAACTTGTGGAAGTTGACAGCAGATGCCATGCACATCAGACTCTGTGTTTAGAGGGAGCAGTATTTTAGCTACTTTTGTGTCCATGAGGAATATCAGGCAATTGTAATCTCTTGGATATGTTTCTTTGTAACATTGGTGCTTTAGATTGTGAAAGTTTATATCCTGTATGCATTTCCTTTAACCTATTAAATAAGATGGGTGTTGTATATGTTAGCCCTGAACTCAGCTCCTAAAGACTTAACTCTCTACTAGCAGCCTCGGCACTGAGGTTAATATTTTTACATGGAATAAATCCAAATTATTTGTGTACAAAATACATCACTGATGTAATTTACTCTAAAAGTAGTGTTTTTCAGATGCACAACTGTTCTGTGATCATAAGCCCGTATATTGAAGTGCTTAAAATACCGCACTAGGAACCATACTGATCATAGGTGAAAAATCAGCATCATCTTAGAGAACGAGCTTTGCTTTTCCAGTGTTCTGAGTCTGCCTTTTCTCTTCCCGCAGCTTGTGGATGTGACCTGGCTCAAGGAGGATTTTTTGTGAGACAGGGAGACTACATCTGTACTTTGGACTACCAGAGACTCTATGGCACACGGTGCTTCAGTTGTGATGAATTCATTGAGGGAGAAGTGGTCTCAGCACTGGGCAAAACCTATCACCCAGACTGTTTCGTGTGTGCTGTCTGCAGGTATGTTTTCTACATGAAGTTACATTTCATTTGAAAAATAGATTTTGAAAGACCAGTGCCAGGCGTGCAAACTTACAGCCTATAGATGGAAAAAAAAATCTGTTTTCTTTCATCAACTCCTTAAAAAGTAGCAGAATTTAAAAAAAAAAATGTGCAAATTCTGGGGCCCTCTTGTTCTTTTTTTTTTCAAATGCTTTTTCTGTTATATGGTATCTTATGTGTGAGGTTTTCAAAGTACTTGAGAAACTGCCACTGCCTCTACTGTCAGATCTTTTGCCCCAAATGTTACTTTATTTCTCTCGTGTCTGCTATTTTGTCTTTTGTCGACTGAAATTGCAAAGGATTCCAAAGTCAGTGTCTGAGTGTTCAGCGAGCTGAGTGGATAACATATTGATAGATTTAAATTGGAGTCTTACAGTGCTGCTTCCCAGAAACTCCGATAGTCATTTAAAATAGGACAGAAAGGTTCTGGACTCACAAATGCTTACATATGTGTTGAATTTCACCGAGACCTCCAACAGCCATGGAGGTGACAAGTGACACGGCACGCAAGATTTTCCCCTGCTATAGCCCAGTGTAGTTCAGTGGGATCATTTCCCACGTGGGTATGTGCAACGTTGCGAGCCAGTGTTGGTGGGGATGTTTGCAGGCTCTGCACTACAAGTGATTGATGTCTGTTTGACCTGCATCTTAGTCCTCTTCTGTGGAAATCACACAAATCTGTTGAAGACTTCAGGAAGAAACTTTTAAGTCCACCAAACCTACAGGAAATGTGCTGTTATAGCAGTTTGGAGCAAATGGAAATGTTGTAATACTTTCTCTGGCTAAACTTGAGCCTTTAGCAGTACAAGAAAAGTAACCCCACGTTCAAAGGGAAACCACAACGGGGCACATTGTAGATGCTATATGTGCTGATGCCTCATTCAGGTGACTGCGCGGTCCAAAACCAGCATGTCGGTGTTGCTGTGGCCATCTGCCAGCCAAATCTGCCCAGCTCGTAGGGCTGCTGAGCTCGGATACCTACCTGCACTGATGTAGAAGCAGGATTTCAAACTCCACAACAGCTGTGGTTCATGGCAGAATCTCAATTTAATATATCAGTTGCAGGAATAATTAAATAGCCATGTTAAGGGGGAAGACTCTAACAATGACAAGCCTTTATTATATTAAATTGTGTCTGTACAAGTTTTGCTGTGTTTGATAGGAGGTTTTTTCCTTTTGGATACTTTCAACAGACATGAAGAGTAAAGGTAACAAAAAAAGCCTAAAATCATCTTTCTTTTCTTTTCTTAAATAGGAGGAAAAATTATTTAATTGGGTAATTGTGGATCTCATGAGTTAACTGCTGGCTGCACATGCTTTAGCCTGTCAGTATTACAGCTCTTCTGGAGATGAGCACAGCTAATTCTTGGTACCTTTCTTCTTAAGGCTACTACCTTCTGTAAAGTGAGGTACTTCTTCATTTAAGACAAAAAGAAAAACTGGATGATTCCATTTTCCTGCTAGATGTGCTTATATCCTCAGCCACACCATTAGCGTTTAGCATTCAGGCACAAATTATTTACTGTGTGTTACTGTACGTAGCAGCTTGGAACCTAACTTAGGTTTCGGTCAGGCTGTTGGATATACTAACCTCCTCCTGTAGTTACTCAGTCCTTCAGCTGATAGTTTGGAGCTTGGTGGTACAATTTGTCTCATCTCCCTGGAAATTCAGAATAATTTTCTGTATGACTAAACTATTTATTCTTAAGTACCTAACAATTCAGGTGAGCTGAATTGCAATACAGTGAAAATACTCACTAGAACATGCTACAAATATCCTGTTTATTGAAGACATGCTAAAGCTTTTAAAAATGAAGCTCCTGATACAAGTAATTAATATTAAAAAAAAAAAAAAATCAGAGATGTTCTGTAAACTTCTGTATAACTAAATAGTTGGATTACAAGCTATTTCACTGATGAAGTTTCTAATTGCTGCTGTCTAAAACTTCAGTAAGAAGATGTGGATCTGCTTCTGTTGCTTTCCTTGGAAGGACACACAAATTCATGTTGTCTTCATCAGAGCCAACTAATGCCCTGCTGACTAGCCGGATTCAATTAGTGTCTCCCAGGGGGATTGTAACACTGACTTGTGGTGATGAGCAACAGAAGAATCCTGTCATCTGTTTGTAGTAAAAAAAACTGGACCAGGTCCTCAAGTGCTTTAAATCAGCATTACTTCAATTACCCCAGCCTTTGCAAGCTAGGCATAATTTATTTTTTTGACGGGAAAGAGAGTCCTATCTAAACATCATCAACATTTATTTTGTTGAGTGATATCTTCAGTAAAAATAAGGTGGGTAGGCTGTAAAACATGTCATTTAAGCAGAACAAAGAACCTTTTTGTGTTGTTTCAAAAAAATAAATATTAAAAAGCAAAAACAATAGAGCTATTTGATTTGAAGTACAGGATTATAAAGCACTCTCCCTTGGCATTTTCTGTGGTGGGAAGAGTCAGGAGTACAGCTTGTCTCCTCATTTCTTACAGATGGGCAGAAACCTTAAGTAATGGGCCAAAAGCTCGTGGGCTGAGGCAGTTGGCTGATCACACAAACTGCGTCTGACGCTGCCTTTTACAGCTGGACTTTAATGTGGGTGCTGTGTTAGAAATTTGGTTTCCGGAACGGTGTGAACTTGAGAGGTGATGACGGCCTAGTGGTGGGGCTGATCCTGCTCTAATGGAAACCAAGCAAGGCTCTTACTGACTGCAGCAGGAAAGCACTGGCGGCGGAAGGCACTTTGCACTGGTGACACGGGTCTCCAGAGTGTTGCAGGATTGTTAAGTGCTTTAAATGAGCACTTCTATGACCTGTATTTCTGTAGCTCTGAAGTAACGCTTTTAAACTGTTCCTGCGTTGAATTGTAAACCAGTGACAGTAGCAACTCCTTTTTTTCTTATTTTCAGAGAAGACAAGATTTGAATAGAAACTGGTGGGAAGGATATATTGCTTCAGACGGTAAAATCAGTGAGGGAATCTAATGTGCATACAGCTAGCTGGAGCAGCGGGGGAAAGCGAGTATCATAAGCCCGTTCATTTTCTGGAGCTCCTGATATTCCTGCTTTTGAGTGCCACATGGCCCAGTGTCGCAGAAAAGAGCTGTGTTCCCTGGTGTCCTCTGCACTGCATCCATCAGCTGCTGCCCTCCTCTCTGAAGAAGGTTGTGCGTCAGAAACCCAACGCATCCCTGGGTGTCCCTTGGGACTCAGATGCTATTGCCCGGGGCTGCCACAGGTCAAAGTGTGAAAAAAATGAATTAGTATTCAGAGAAAAACGGTTAAAAATGAAGTATAAGGTATCATCCTGTGTGATTGTTTATCTTGCATTGGGCAGTTTGCTCCTAAACAAATGTAGTTTTTAATTGTGTGTTTGCTTTGCTGATGTAAAGATTGAGGGTTTGGCCCCTTTTCCCAACACTGTTTATAGTCCAGTGAAATGGTTTTCTGCTGTTGTGTTTCATGATGATAATGCCTAAAACTAGGGGTGAGTAGAAGAGTAACAACATAGATTAGAAAACCATTGCATATGCAGTGCTTACTTATTCTTACGGTTTCATTAACTGGAAGTGGCTGTGCCCTGCAGAGGGCTGCCAAAGACATTTCCTTCACATGTTTGTAAAAGTGAAATAGAAAGAGGGAGAAAATTAAGGCTATGTGTAGCACTAGAAGCTGAGTTTTATTAAAATTGTGCACGCAGCTCTCACATGGGTGTCAGAGACAGGACTGTACGGCTCCCAGGGGTGTCTGATGCAGGATGGCAAAGGGCAGGAAGGGGAGTCTTTCAAAAAGCAATGGATAATCCTACCTGTTCTAATACTTTTGAAAATGGAATTTTCAGGAGAAGTCTTAGTGTTTTAATAAGTTATACAGATGTATTAATACATCTATGCCGACTATACATACATGGTCTGTATGGTCTGCAGAAGGTTGTACTGTATGTAGGCTCTGTATTTGATATCAATGTTACTGCCACGCTGTGTGTGCATAGGGTATCAAAAGTCTGGGGTTTGGTTTTAAGGGTTAATGTAATCGGTAAAGTTGGGAGTATTGTTTATTTACCCAGTTGGAGGAATGTATATAATAGTTATCTATTGCATTCAATATTCTTTTAATTAAAGGTTGGAAAAATGTAGCTCTTACTTAAGAGTCAAATTGTCCTTCTCTCTTCACCATTTACATGTCACAAAAAGCTATATTTTTCCAACCATTAATTAAAAGAATACTGAAATTCAAGGGATAACTGTTATATACGTTCCTGGGGGAATTAATTAGCATGTATGTTCCAGGTTAATAACCAAACAGGTACATGTTCGCTCTACAGAATTTGAATATCTGAGTTCAGTATTTTGTCTGAATTTGGGAAGCTTTGTCTTGAAGCAGCGTATCAGCAGAAGTTGAATATGTGCCATGCTGAGGTGAATGATGTGTGGAGGGGCAAAAGGCAGTTATGTATTCTTCAAGGGGTTTCATGCCAAATCCAAATCTAAAACTTCTCTCAATCTGTTTCTATTTCTGTTATCTTCAGGAAGGTAATTAACTGTGGCCGGGCAGTTGAATATAAAAATTCGGAGAACGGAAAGCTTTCTTTTTTCTGACAATGGGTTTTATAGTCCTACATACAACATTGTTCTTTCTAGAAAGAAGCTGAGGGCTTTTGTGTATGTATGTCTTAAGAAATAAGACAATACTGAAAATTAGAGGTTAAAATTCACTTTGTTCTGGAATGTAGCAGTTATGTCAGACATTTTGAATGTGCTAAATCTTTTTAATTGCTCATTTTTTTTAGCGCTGCTGAATTTTGAAAGAGTTTGGTTCCCACTTAAGCAGTACTGGGTACTTCGTAAAGCAGCTCATGACACATGCTTCTTCATCTGGATGTTGAGGACAACAGTTTGATATCAGACTGAGTGTTCTTGGCATTTTGATTCTAAACCAAATACATTTATCAATGTATGGTGCTTTCTGAACAAGGGAGTCTTGCTGTCCTGCTCTTCATGTTTACGCATGGAACATACATATTACCCTAGAGTCATGTAAGATGGAAGGGATCTGTGGAGGTCCTGTGTTCCAGCCCCTGGCTCAAAACAAGTCCAGTTCGAGCAGGCTGCTGAGGGCATTGTCCTGTCACATTTTAAATATTTTTAAGGATGGAGATCCTACAAACTTTTTGCACAGCCTGTTCTAACATTTGAGCACGCTCATGGTAGTTGGTTTTTTTTCTCCTTATAGTGAGTTGGCGTTTCCGATGTTCCAGCTTATGTCTGCTACCTCTTGTCCTTTCACTCTGTACCTCTGGTGAGAGCCTGGCTCTGGCTTCAAATACGTGTCTTCACATGGTTTTAGACATCAATTAAGGTTCCCCTGAGCATTTTAAGGCTGAACGAGCCCATCTCCTTTAGCCACTGCTTATGTGTCCTGTGCTCTGGCTGTGGACCTAGCCACCTCCACTGGGCTCCCTCCAGTAAATCTTGTCCTGAGGAGCCCAAAAATGGTACGCACTGCTCCAGATGCAGTCTCTTAAAAGATGAGCAGGGGAAAAGATCACTTCCCTGGACCTGCTGAGTACACTAATGCAGCCCGGTATGCAGTTGGCTGCCTTTGCCTCAGGGACACTCTGCTGACTCACATTCAGCTTGGCTTCCGCCAGGACTCCACATCTTTTTATGCTTTCCAGCTGATTGACCCCCAAGTTGTACTGGTGCATGGGGCTATTCCTCCCTGGGTGCAGGACTTAGCATTTGCCCTTGTTAATATTCATGAAGGCAGTAGGTAGCAAGTAATGCCCACTTTGTCTCTTCAGGTTTAACACCCTGGGTCAAATTCATCCCTATGGAGCAACCTTGAAGGGTGTGATCGTATCAGGTACAAATTAGAGCAGAATTTGATCCTGTAGGTCCTTAGGTTGCAGTCTGACATTACACCTGACCCAGTGTAACTGCAGTCTGCTACAGAAATGAATAGCTTTGCTGTCCCCACAACCCTGATCGTATGCTTCTATTAATTTTCTTATAGCAAATTTAGTTGACTGTTCAGCCACGGAGTCAGATCATCAACTTACAGAACAGAAGGGCGTCCATCTGCTCTGAGAAAAAAAATAAATATTTTCTTTTGGCCCAGAAAGCCTCAATGACTTGCCCACAGCTGCGTAAGTTGAGGCATGGTGCAGAGAAGGACAAGACCAGGACCAGACCTTTCAGTGTCAGCACACAGTTACCTTGGATTAGGCTGATGGTGGTTTGATGTTTTGCAATATAATTTTGTTGGTCAGCTCCAGTTGTCTCTGGGTTTACAAATATTGTGGGCAGGTGGATAAAATAAAATTCATGGGGAAGTGAATCATAGAAGATGCATTAAAATCCTACAAGTCATTTCAGAGAGCTCCTTTAAAGATGTTCTTAATTCTCCTTTTAAAAATAGATTAGCCAACTGTGAAAATCACACTGAATATTTTTAAAAGGATAAGTAGCTAATTAAAACCCATACATAGCAGTGTTCAGTGGGTGACTGGTTGAGAGATGTCATTATATTCAAAGGCAGATACACTGCTCTTAACCTACAATGCTATTTATAGTCCTGCTCACAAGTTAAAGAACTCAGAAACTGAAACCTCTTTAATTGACTGTTATCACCTTCTGTTGTGCTTTCACTCGTACCAGTGTTGAAATCCTCGCGTAGGGCTGCTTGTGAAAGGTAGAGGTCAGAGGTTACAGAAATACTGGCAAATGTGTTGCTTACGAATTCTCGATTCCCAATGAACGAAATAGTGAAGCAAACACCGAGACTTAATTACGAGTTTAGAAGGCCAGTGAGGGAGGGCAACGTCTGCCTATACCTTTGGGCAGACGTCCAAGGACGATTTCCCTGCTTTTATAGAGCAAGGTGTCTTGCAGATGTGAAAAACTTAATAGAGAAGTGAAATTGTTGCCCTCTCCCCTCTGAATGGAAGGGCGCAGTGAATAGTTACTCAACTTCCAGAAAATAGACCAAATAAGATACATTTATGGGGTAGGAAAGCCTCCACCAGGCTCACCCCAAAGGAGGCTCTGTGGCACGCTGTGGTGCCTGTGAGCTTTGGCATGATTTGTGGGTGTCATCTAACTGTCTCTGTCTTTGTGTAGTAGGGAGTCAATCATCCTATTCCTCTCTAAGTTTTAACTGTGTTTTCTTTCAGATTGTTTAATTGCCTAATGTAGCTGAGCCAATTCAAGTGAATAATCCCTACTTCTACTTTACTTAATACTTGGTGCATCTGTTTCAGGTGGGCATCTGTGTTCAGCTGGAAGTTCAGCTGGATTTTTGTTAGGTAAATCACTGAGTCAAAAAATACATTAACTTTCTGCCTCTAATATACTAGATACAAGAATGCTCAGTAGTTGTGGTACTTTTTTAGAGCAGTGAATCATTCATGGCTTCCAGGACGTCATCATCTCTAGGATTATTAATGGTGCAAAGCCTGCTGTTTTACTGAGACATCTCATGAGCGTCCAGTTGGGTCATTAGCTCAGTTCCCAGTCTTGTTCCCCAGAAAGTGTATGGCAGACCATACTTGATGGTAATATCCTGCCAAGGGCATGCATAAGCATGAAAGATACTGGGGCCGTTGTATGGCAATGTAGTTGTGTGATTGTATCTGTGGAGCAGGTTACCATTTGGGGTGGGGTGGGGGCTTTAATTCAAAACAGATTATCAGTGCTCATAATAAATATATGGGTGTCTGTAAATCGAGATGAGGTGTCTTCCTAAAAACACATAGGAGGTCAGTTACAAGTTCTTGTCTCAGTTCTGGAATAGTTGAAGTTCCTTTGCTTGTGCCTTCCCAGTTCAATCAATAGTGTTTAGTTCTAGACTTGATTTTGTAACATTTTATTAAAACAAAAACATGATTGAACGATATCTTTCACATTGGCATTAGAAAACTAGGCTAGCATTTGAATTATATCACTCCATTGTTAAGACAGTTTTTGGTAATTAGTCATTAATTGTCAATATCTATGTAGAAGTGTGTCACATTTGGTAATTTTTATTTGAATGAATGTATGTTCATGTCTAGAGGTGCTTTCCAACCTCAACTGTTCTGTGATGTTCGTGAAACCCTTTTATTATTCCATATATTAGAAGGCTCCATGACTTTAAGCGGTATACAAATCCATTGTGAATAACAGTTATTTACAGTTATCCTAAACAGCTATTCTGAAAAGAACATTTTTGGTTTTTTATACGTAACACAGGAGCTTGCTGCTGCTGGATTGCTGTAGGACGGGAGAGACGTACTGCTCATGGGAGCAGTGTGGCTCCGGAGTGTCCTGTTTGCAATACTGTAGACAGTGTTGTCATCTTCTGATCGGGTTTATTGAGTAAAATTCACGGTACAAAATCCTCTCTTGAACAGGTGGAAATTTAGAACTCCTGGATCTGTACTAACATGGCGTTGGGCCTGTTTGTACCAGCACCACACATGGAACATTTACTTGTGTCAAAGAGCAGGATAATTTTAAAGGCTATTTCCATAAAATATTTTTCCTTAGCTTAACTTTAGGTAAGTAAGAAGGTAGTGAGTATTTGGAGTATTAAGTCATTAGTGAAGGAAAAAAAAAGGTGAAAAGCAGAATTCGTTATCAGATATCCAAAGATACAACAATATTTAAACTCTACGTGTCCTCATAATTTTTAAAGTATTGCCTGTGGTCCAAAATGGATGACAGTGTTGAACACTTATTTAGCTGGTTTAAAATAGATTTTAGTAACATTATTTAGAAACAAAGGAGAGCGTTGCTTTCTTTCTCTTTTTAAGTAATAAAAAATTTCTTTTAAATGCAACACATGTAAAATAAGCTCTTGGCTGGTTTAGCGACCAAATAACGTTTATGCTTAGCAAGAAGTATCTGTGCAGCTTTTGTAGTGAAGATAACCTCTCAACTGGTATGAATTTGATCGTTTTTGTGGGGAACGTCATGCAGAGTTTTAATGAAATGTTAATGAAATAATCTGATCAGATGGACTTCTCCACGAGGCAGAAGGCTCGCGTTATGTTTGCGCCCCTCTTAAGCCACATTTTGATAGCTCACTTGGGATTTAGTTGGACGTGAGCTTTGGGTGGAGTGAAATGTGTTTCCAAATCCTCACCATCCTTTGCTGCATTATGAAGTGATTTGTCCATCTGGTCCTGTTAGAGAAAAAAACTCAGTAGTTTTTGTGTGTAGACAAGAAAGCTTACAGCAGAAAGCTTTTTGTTTTAAGGACATTGATAAAAAGGAAGGATTTAATTAAGTGTAAGGAGAGCTGTTGTTGAGTAGAGCAAGCAAGTAATGTACTTCAGTTTTTATAAGCGGGATAGATTTTCTCCTATGAGAGTTCACTGACATTTGCTTTCTGAGCATATAGATTAAGAGAAGGATTTTGATATGATCAAAGTTGGGAGGCCAAGTGCTGTTTTTTTAATGTATAAAAGTCATCACTCTCATGCAGCATTTTAGCAACATAAAAGTAGCTGCTTTTGCCTGTAATGCCAGTTCTATTTTCATTCTGTAACTGATCCTGTTAGTGATCAACCCTTGCCTGATACTACATTTCTGAGATACACAAGGATTTGGACTTAAGTATTGTTTAGTATCTTCAGATTTATTTTTTTTCCTAAGTAGCTGTAACATCTGCATTTGCAGTTGCCTGTTTGGTATGTCCCTTTGACACTTCAGCCTCCAAGTGGCTGAAGAACTGTGAATGAGAACTGAGCAAATAGAGAAAAAGAAACCAGAGCAATAATCAGTTCCTTTAAGGGAAGATACTTAACTTTGATAAAGATGTGAGACTGTAACCTGTTTGCTTTTGCTTCCTCTGTTGTAGGCTGCCTTTCCCTGCAGGCGACCGGGTAACTTTTAACGGGAAGGAGTGCATCTGCCAGAAATGTTCCCTGCCCCCTTCCAGCAGCACCGGCTCTTTCCCCGTACAGAACCTGCGGAGTAAGTAGGGGTTTCTGCTCTTAACTGTTGGTACTTCTTAGTCTGCAGAGGGTTTAAGGACACAATTTTAACTGTAATTCTTACCACTATGCTGCTTAAAAGGTGTCAAGAAATACAAAGTAGTCATTTGAAAAAGTGATGGTTTTCTGAGAAGTCTGATATTAAAGAGAAACACAAATGGTGCCATTATAGTGTTAAGAGTACACAGAACCTCACAGAACATTTGATTACAACTGGAGTAAATCAAATTATGAGGAGAAAGGCGTGATAAAGATGTTAATATTTTTGAGGATTTAGTCCCACTCTGGCTAAAATAAAATCCAACATGATATTTAATCATTTGTAAGTGTTCCAGGGTTGCTTTGGAAAATATCAGTGTCAGGACTGCATGGCTAAATACTACCCAGGAAGGGTTAATATATGCAATGTGACCAGAGGGACATTTGCCTTGACCTCAATTGACTGTCGTGTGCAATCAGAAGATACAAATACCGCAGAGAAGAAATGTGTTCTTTTGATAACACCTTTTTTTGCAGCAGATCATACAGTGGCATTGCTGCTCTGAACTGTTGCTCTGCTGATTTGTGCACAAGGAGCTGCCACACTTTAACATTCATCCACGGCCTATGTGGAATTAAACATCAACAGCAATTCATTTGAACAGCAAAACCAGAAATATTTTTAACGACTGTCATGTTGCATCGGGCTGGATTTGACATGGCTGAGGAAAGGGGCCCCATAGATTTCTCTCCTTTGTATATAAGGAATTCAGCTCGCTTCAGGGAGAAATTTCTTCTTTTTTTTTTTTTTCTTTGTTTTTTCCCCACATCTCTCTTTTTACAGAATTTTTCACCATCTCCTTTCTCCAGGTTGTCAGCCAAAGCTGCTGTGTGAATGCAGTGAGAGATGCTGTGCCGATTCCTCTCTTGCTAATGCTGTTCTCTTCGGGGACGGGATGGCCCCCTCTCTTAGGTGCTTTCTCTTGTCACTTATTCCAGGGATGGATCATCCTCAGCCATCTTCGCTGGCTGCATTTGCAGATCCATACTTTAATGGCCTATCATCTGTTTGTCTCCTTGTCATATGGGAAAAGTGGCTTTGACTTTAATGGAAATTATTTGCTTGGTTGAGTACTGACAGAACAACTTCATTTGATTATCTGTGACACAGAATCCTTTAATGTACTTACATTCCCTTTCTCTGTACACATCCCCCCCCCCGAGAGTTTTTCTTGTGCTGCATTTCCCCAGCTCTCTGGGGCCGCTGCACCGAGCCTCCCCACTGCACAGCTACCTGCAAACCTCAGCAAACCACTTGCCTCAAAGGGAAGGAGCACTGGAAGCAGATCGTTGTGGCAAAGCCTGATCTTGGAAAGCAAAAATTTAGATTTCCCCCGAATAAAATCTCAAAGAGATGCAAGTATTTAAACATCAAATACAGGTCTGCTTTAAAAGTCACTAGAAATGAAAGAAATCTTGCTTGCCATGGGTTTCAGTGGATTGAAATAAGACTGTTGGTTCAAACCTGGCTATCTGCCACACCATAGACTAGACTTCTAAAATAATTTGATTTGGTCTTCACCTGAGACTTTTCCAACTCTACTTCTCAAACGATGCAGTCATGGAGGTGAGCTGACAGCTACCATGGCTTCTTAAAGGGCAGACTGACGTCTGTATCTGGTCTGCAAGTAAATTTTGCCATGATATTGCCAGGATCCCAGATAAATATCTTTCTTACCCGTGTAGACTATGTCTGTTCTTATCTTTTCCTTACTGCATTTCCCCAGTGTCTTGCAGCGCTGCTGCAGGGCAGCATCTTTGGATTTCATGGTGACATGCAGCGCCCAGCTGGCCCAGGAGCCGCAGAGCTCATGGGCTTCAGGAAATTGGGTAGCAATGGTGCTATCCCTCCTTGCTAGGGGGAATAGAGCTTTGATGGGTCAACGGGAAGCATTGCAGCCTCAAATATGTGGAGGTGTGTGCGTGTATAATATAGCAGGATATGTCAGAGCCTGACCAATGACAATATACAGGAAATTAACCCAATACCTAAAAAGATAATAAAGAATTTGGGAAACATTCTGATTAATATGTAATATGTGAGAGAGCAATGTATAATAACAGTTGTTTTCCAAGCGCTTACTAATCCTTAGGCTGGCACCAGTGTTTCAGGAATAAACAAGCAGTGTCAGAGACATCTTGGTTGGACTGGAAAACGGGAAGTCCAGAATAGCTGTCTGTAGCTATGCTGCATATTACACAACGCAATAAATGGCGTTAGTGTCTCCTTGTTTTAACAACAGCCTTCTTGGAAAAGACCTTAATGCTTTAAACAAACAATTCTTTTTATAAAAGAACAGTAGTGCACAAAAATACGTGACTTCAAGCAAGCTGAGTCAAGGAGCAAGTCGTATGTTGACCTGTTGTTACGTTGGCTTTGGTCTTGGCTCAGAACTGCCTGATATGTACTATGTATGATACTCGTCAGCCTATTTATCTCTGACTTGACCTCAAGAATGCTTTCAGGAGATCTCTTGGGACTCATTGAGCTCCCAACATTACTGTCCCTTCTGACCAGTCCTTCTATTTTCACCCTCCCACTTTGGTGTTGACCTCCTTTATACACTACATTTGAAAGAAGTGAAAAATGTCAAATATTTGCTTTTTGCCCGAGTCCTTGAATTTTTTATTATTATATAAATACCTAGCTACCTGTTTTGTTTCTTTTATAAAACGCTAGCTGTGAAAACCTCTTGTGGCAGTGTTGATGTTGAGAGAGTACTTGGGGAAGATTATCAACATGTAGCAGCCAGTTAATGTGTTCTGCAGAGTTATTGGTTGAAATTAGGTGAGTCACCAAAGGATGCTGCATCCAAGACAGGAAGACAAGGACATTGCATCAATAGGCACTGTCGGCATAGCAACCACAATATTTGTTTTTAATTATCTGGAACTTAACAGAGAAAACAGCAGTTAGCAATAAAAAAGTAGCTCACAAAATGCTGCTTTCCAGCTCACCCAAGCTTAAACCAGATGAAAGGTGAATAACATCTGAGCACACAGTGTTGTATTAAATTTGTGAAATAAACTCACAAGCAGTGAGATTAAATTAGATTACCAGATGAACCCCTGGTGCAGGGAAGATCACAAAAAAAAAAAAAATCTGATTGCTGTTAGAATAGATACTGCTGTATTTATTGTCTTGTGGGACTCAATCCAGGCACACACCCAAATGTTCTCTTTTATTAGCAAAACTCAAATGTTCTGATCTCTGATGCACACTCTTGTGCTCGGCTTGTTTCCCTGTATTGGTGCTCTTAGGGTGATATTAGAGAGACATATTATTACTCCCGTAATCCGTTCCAAATCCACTAGAGGAAAATAAGAACTATACTTTATTGTTATACGCTCAGAAATTAAACATTTACAATTGCACTAACAGCGTCTCAGTAGGGTCACGTAACCAACTAAATAGAAACTTAAATCAGAAAGTTTTTAAGAGAACTGTTTAAATCTTTTAATGAGGTCCGATGTGTGATGTTATTTCTTAATAACTAGATAAATCTTTTTAAATGCTTTTGTGTATCTTTCTCTTCCATGCAAGTCATTCTCATGTGTTTTTTCTTTTCTTGCATCTCTAAATGACTCTTCAAATGTCTTCAGGGTTTGCCTTTTCTCTAGCAAGTTGTTGTATACATTAAGAATTCCAAAAAAACACCCCACATGTTTTCACATAAGGTGGAAGATACAATCATATGGAGGATTGGAAGGTTTACTGAGATACTGATGCTGTAATAAGTTTATTACTGATGTTTATCCCTACTTTTCAGCATATTCTGATTATTTTAATGTTTTGTAAGAAAATTATACATAAATTGGAGTCTGTAGGGAGTGAAGAGTGAATGAGAGCTGGACTCTGTAAGGGTAATAGAGGATTCATTTAGGATACAGAGAGCTAGGTTCAAATCCCATGTCAGTATAGCTTCCATAAACAGAGCCCTCACTGGTGGACTGTTGGACTTGGATGCTAAGAGTGGATTTGGCTTTTACTACCATAATCAAAAATATCCATGAGTAAAAAACAAACAAACAAACAAAAAACAACCAAACCCCTAAAAAAGTCTTGTCCTTCCTCAATTACTTTTTCTGAAGAGTATAGCTACTTCCCGCATAGCTTGTTTAACCAACATAGTTATGGCTATCCAGGTACCACGTGTTTTGCATTTAATTTTCCTTGCAAATTTTTGAAGCTTTATATAAGTGAATGTTTATAAATAATAAATATAGAAGTTAATTTCTATAAGTAATAAATATATAGCTAGCCATCACTTCCACATGTCGCAATGTCACTATGACTCAGGAATTTGTAATGCCTCTCAGGTATTGGTGTATTTTTCCTGATTACAGAAGTTTGCATCAGAATTTCGGCTTAGTTTTTTCCACAGCTGCAAAAAGAATTTTGAACTGTGAGTAAAGGCTTTGGACCCAGAAGCTAAGTCTGATATGGAGGTTCAATTATTCATTTTAATTTCATGACTTTTAGGTATTTTATGTATTTATTTATTTTATTTTATTGGGCTGATTTGTGATGCTTGAAAATTTAATCAGCAGAACTTTGTATCTTTTAAACACAGTATAAATGAATTAAAATAAAACCTAAGTCGCTAGGAAGCCTGAGTCATTAATTTTTTTTCTTTGAATGATTCATGTCTCTAACGATGTTATGCCAATATTAGGGCAGCACCACTTGTCACCCATCAGTGAGCTTTAGAGCCTGCACGAGCAATTACTAGGACACCAATGGATCCTCGTACCGCAGTAAACAGTGTTGTTGCGTGACCATCTAAAGCGTGTCATTCTCTCATATTGGATTTTTTCCCTTGCAGATTGTGGGGGCTGTGGTTCAGAAATAAAAAATGGGCAGTCACTGGTTGCCTTGGACAAACACTGGCATTTGGGCTGTTTTAAGTGCAATACATGCGGCAAGCTACTGAACGCAGAGTACATCAGCAAGTAAGTTGAGTGGAGGATTATTTTCCTTTGCTTTCAGTGTTCTTTTAGTACCAAATAATTAATTCAGCATTGCCTATCCTTTAATTTGTGTTTAGCGGTGTTTGGAGATATATAAAAGATTAGAGATTATTACCTAAATTATTATCTAAATTGTAGGAAATAGAAAAATTCAAATTAAGAGAAGTAGAATTTGTCCTTTTACCTGAAATGGGACTTGTCAAAACTATAGAAAGGCAATGGGTGGAGTATGCCCTTAGTTATCTATGTCTGACTTTGCTCTATGTGATGCTGTAATGTGAACAAGCAGATGTTATCCTTTCCATGTGTTTCACATAAACAAAATTGTTCTCAAAAAATTGATTAAGTAAGTACATATCATGCTTTTGAGCTGCTCCAGAGCCTTGTGCTGTCAGATTTGGACTGAATGTGATGATAGCGATGAGAGGCAGCACAAAGTACACACACAGACCAAGTCCCATGTCAACACTCATATCAGTCCGGTGAGATACAGGGCTTTCACTGGCCAAGGCACCTGGGATTAATTTCTCCTTCAGAGAAGTGTGTTGATATGATGAAATTTTCCTAAACGGTTAAGTAATTCAATCACCAGTGCCCAGAGATGATGGAGTTTCAGAGCCGATGTCCCACTGACTTTCAACAATTCTTTGGATTTAGATTAATACACGTATACATTTAATTTCACAGCTTGCACTGGAGGCTGAGAAAACAGAATTTAATAAAACGGTGTTCTTAAATAAGGTTTTGCATTATATCAAATGTTATGCTACTCTGCTGTATTTTGGTACAGTGCTCTTTTTGCTTGTTATTTAATAATAAACCCTCCATAAATTGTAAAGATATAGTTATTGTGAAATCCTCTTTTTAAAAAAGCTGAATGCCAAACAAAATAATTCAAGAGAAGAAACATCCTTGCTCCAATTAATTCAATTAATTATTGTGGTAACATATAGGTTAGTCTCTGAGCAATCCAACTCGTAGCCTATAAAATTAATTCTTATGTTTCTCCAGAGTAATGTCTAATAAAATTATGCCTCTGCCAATAAATCTGTCTGATCATGGGCTGTTTTAGCAGAGCACACTAAACATTTTACTCTTTTAAATCTGGACCACAAAAATGATCAGGCGGCTGGAACACCTCTCCTATGAAAAATAGCTGGGAAGAGTTGGGGTTGTTCAGCCTGGAGAAGAGAAGGCTCCAGGAAGACCTTATAGCGGCCTTCCAGTACTTAAAGGGGGTTATAAGAAGGATGAGGACAGGGCCTGTTGTGATAGGACAAGGGGTAATGGCTTTAAGCTAAACGAGGGAAGATTTAGACTAGGTACAAGGAAGAAATTTTTTATGCTGAGGGTGGTGAAACAGTGGCACAGGTTGCCCTGAGAGGTGGTAGATGCCCCATCCCTGGAAACATTTAAGGTCAGGTTGGACGGGGCTCTGAGCAACCTGATGTAGTTGAAGATGTCCCTGCTCATTGCAGGGGAGGTTGGACTACATGACTTTCAAAGGTTCCTTCCAACCCAAACTATTCTGTGATTCTGTGTTTAACTTGGACTTTGAAACAGGAGTAGAATCTTCAGTTTCTTCTAGAGCAATTTAATTTTGCTGATTTAGTGGTCTAAATGTAAAATTTTGTAAAATTGTTATCTAAATGTAAAATTAACAAATAGGTTAATTTCAGAGAAATAGCCCAAGTGTTCTGGTTCTGACTTAAAAGCTAGGATTCCTGGTTTTATTCTGTGTATTTTTAAATTGTACATTATCTTAAGTGACTTGTGGTGATGAAATAACTGTTCACATAGTACATGAGCGTACTGCAAGTTCTCTTCTGCTGCTGAGGTTGAAGTCTCTTAGTTATTACTGGCTTCCATGGAGCAGGTTGCCGAGTTGGTTACTTCATGACTGTCTTTAAGCAAGTCTAGTCAAGAATGTCAGCAGACAGGTGTTAATCAAAACTTGGTCAGCTGATAAATTACTTTGAAGTCTAAGCGAAATACAATTAGATGATAAATAAAGAGTGAAAGAATAATACATAGAAATAAGTATTTTTTTTTCCAGAGTGCAAAACACGTGGAAGAATTTGATGAGTAACGCTATCAAAGCAAATGGTGTGAGAGTCTCAGAGACTGTGTGTTGTGACGGGGAGAGGTGATGGCTGAATTCAGTGACAAAGCAGGAAAGTGGGATCATGGTAGACTCTGATAGTTCAGGGGATACCAGCCAGGATAGTTCATTAACTATTCAATTCTTCGCAGAAGTAATAAATACAAGTATTTGAGAGGGGGGAAAGTCCACAAACACCCTGTGAAGTGTTGAAGCATTAACAAATTTTAGCTGTGTAATCTCCCAGTAAACGTGTAGGCCTACCTAAAGTGATCTCTGTTGTTCTTCTCTAGGGATGGCATTCCATACTGCGAAACGGACTATCATGCAAAGTTTGGTATCAGATGTGACAACTGTGAAAAGTATATCACAGGAAGAGTGCTTGAGGTAAGGAGAACCTGTCATTCAAACAGATCTCAAAGTGTAAAAAGGGACTTGCTCTTTTGGTTCTAGTCATATGCTCACAAATTAGTGTTAAAGCAGCAGTTTAATGTTACTTTTGTGAAATACTTGGAACTTTTTCTGTAATTCTTTTCTGTTTCTTCTCTTAATGGTTTGATAATATACATACTCCTTAAACGGATATTTGTGGTACTGGAGAACATTCAGGTAGCAGAAGTAATAAGTGAACGGGTTATCAGGCACATTTTAATACTTACGCTAAATTCCTTTGTAAATTCTGGTCTTCAATTCTGCTTTACCTTCCTCTGAGTTAAGGTGGCACTGCTGAAAAATTAAAATTAATCATTTGAAATGTATATTTTCACCTAGAAATGAACTATGTTGCAGGGATTTTTTGAGTTCGCTGTTTTAGTGCAGGTGAATGTTTATACTTTATGCAAAAGACATTTCTGTATAACTGACTCGGGGTCAGAAATGGATATAGTCCTTTGATGTAAACAGAACTTATCCTTGGATCTAAGTTTATGGTTATCAAATCAATGTTATCATTTATACACTTTATCTTTCTGCCCTTTCCCTGTATCTTGTGAAGCCTTAGCAGTACTGGAGTTAGGAAGAGGTTCCCCAGGGCGGTCAGTTCACTCCTTTTTCTTCATCAGTTAAGAAAGCTTGGAGAAGTCCCACAGGACTCTTCCACCAGAGAAAGATCTTCTAGGAGTCGTACAAAGACTTTTTCCAGAGGTCTCTCTGAAGTGGGAGAGGGAAAAAAGAAGAAAGCATTAAAAAACCTTCAAAAATGTAAGTGGTGACCAGTGGAAGCTGCTACATGTTTTCATGTAGCCTTTGACACTGAATGAAAGGTAGTAAGATGGGGTGGGCTTTGGAGGTGAAGCTAATTAATTTATATTTGATGTGATAAAGAAGAGAGAGGTGAATGCAGAGAGGAGAGTGCCATGGTAAAAGCTCTAGCAAATTTGGGGTGCACTTACCCATAGCAGGTTGCAGGGAGCAATTAATAATAAGATGGGAGAAGAACAGAAGCTCCAGTTTCTCTACTGACTGTTGACTTCACAATAATGTGTTTTTCTGTCCTGGTTCTTGCCTTGAAATGTCTGTACAAAAATGCTCCTTTTATCTGGTAGTATTTTATCTGCAGGATGGTTAAACAACAGCATGTGGTGTGATGTGATTAAGAACTGGGTCTTTACTGTCTATGTGGATGATGAAAAGAAAAAAAAGTTTAAGAGATTTGCATAGTAACAGTGCTGAGTTGGATATGTGGGACATGTGGCTGTATCTTTCATCTAACTGCTTGGTGAGAGTGTACTGAACAGGAGGAGAGTTCCTTGTTTTGGTTATAGATGGACCAATAACAAACTTGAGAAAAGTTAATTCTTTAAAGCTGTTGTAGGAATTTTGCAATGACTGATTACGTCTGTCATTGTAGATCTAGGTGATGTTTTCAGTTAGTGCATGTGTGTCCCCCTTCTCTCCCCTTCACTAATGTTGCTTTGGTGACGGTACTGTAGTACTGATTCTCCGCTTATTTTGGTACTGGTGCAGGCTGGGAGTGAATTTGATTGAAGTCTGTGGCATTTAACTGTGGAAAAAATACTGATGCAACATTCTGAAACCTTTTTAAAAACAAGATGAGGAGAAAGGACTTTTCACGATCAGTAAAAGCACAGCAGAGTCAGATAGTGTCACTGTCAAATAGGAGAGATAGGATGAAGTTAGTGTGAAGCAGGCAATGGATTTCAACAGGTACAATGATATTTAATGTCTGGGGGCTTGTTACAACAACCTTTGTTGTAACAACCTTTAACAACCCTTTTAACAACCTTGTTACAACAACCTTTGTTGTAACAACAACCTTTACGGGCTATAACCTTCTTTCCATAAGATTGTATAAAACATGCTGCTGTTCTGTGTGCAGCAAAACTATTGAAGCTTGAGTATGGGTGAATGTCCTATGCCCTAGCATTCTGCTGTCGCAATAGGTCCTGTTCCTCATGACGTCTCCCAAAATACCTGCTCCCATCCCCTCTGTTTCCCTGTGAAGCATCTCGAGAGCTTTCTTTACATTTCTACTGCCTGTTTTTGTGGTCAAGAGATGACACATAGTGTGAGGCTCCTTCCATGGTGGTCAGCCTGTGATTTCCATGAGCCTGTGGACCTCTGTAATGGATCACCTTAAATGGCCATTGAGTTTCAGTGTTGACTGTGGAGAGCAGTCAGATGAGGAGGTAGGACGTACACCTCATTCCATTAGGAAGCTAGACTGAAAGTCATGACGTAAGCAAACAGATTTGAAAGAACGCAGAGACCATATCCGTAGCTAACACGGTTAAGTCATTTGTTGTTCGTCTGCAGCAGACGGACTTGTTCAAAAGGTTTGGAATTGGGGCTGACCTCCTCTGTCTGTCTGGTATCAAACTTGGTGTGTGTTTGTCACCGTCCAGCCTGCTGGTATGTTTGTGTATCTCCCGATCAGGAGGACAGAAAAAAGAAAAAGTAGCCATGGCTGTTTTTCGCTGTAGAGTGTATTTTTTGTGTGGAATTGACTGGAATCCTGAAACATTTTTCAAAACTTCGTCATTTCTTTTTATTATCTCGAATATAATCTGGAGATACAGAGAAAGAATAGGGGCAAATTGCTATTAAAGAATAGGGAAAAATCTTGACAGCAATAGTTATTAGGCAGAGGAATAATCTCCCAAGGGAGCTGCTGGAAGCTATCACTTAGATCGTATTAAAACAAGATTGGACAAGGGACTGGAAAATCTACATTAGGGAACAGTCCTGCAATGATAAAGGGAGGGACTATATGACCTAATAGGATTTTTTCCATCTCTGATTTCTCTGATAATGTCAGGAGGACAGCTGCTTCCACAATTATTCTGTGCCCAGATTTTATGATATTGTCTCCCTTTCCAACAGTTGTTCGTTTTAAGTGTTTATTCAGCAGAGGAGGAAGGGAGAGTCAACTAGTGTGAGTTACTGATAACTTAGAAAAATATGGCTGTTTTTGTAGGTTGCCAGCCAGATACAACGATGATTTAGTTACTTAAATTCTTCCTTCAGCCCATTTTCTGAGGGCTAGATTCATTCCATGTAGTAAATGGGCTTAAACACAGGATAGTTCTGTTTATAATTCCTTTCTCGTTTCTTTCTCCCACTCCAGTCCACCTTGGCTTGCCCCCAGTCTCCCAGGGAACTTGTACTGGAAAAGCTACAAAAGAAGCTGAGGAACTAATTTACGGACACCATAAATTCTTCTATTGCTTTTAAAGGCAACAGTTTTGCTGTTCTTTTTACAACCCCCTGCCTGCCTGCGCTTTTATGGGCAAGGTTTGCTTTGCTCATGAAGCATACAGAGCCCTGTTTAATGCAACATCAGTCCTCTCCTAGAAATTGCGATGTTTTATCCCTGACCGTATATTGATAAACCTACCATCTTAAATGGGGAGCAAGGGGTGGCTGGAGTTTACTTTATAGTTTGATTTAAAATGCAGTGTGACTGAAAACCTTTATGGAGAAAAAGGGTTTATTTTAGTCCTTATGCTGTAGCTCTGTTCCTGGTCCATCAATAGCTAAAATCATGCAATAACACAGAAAATAAACACACTTTAAAATAATTGATTTAGAATTATTATTTAAAATAGTTGATTTTTATAACCAGCCATTTCTCTTTTGTCATGCTGCAATCTATTTCTCTGCATTTGGCACTAAAAATATTTTTTCCTCTCTTTTCCTATCACAAGCAGTTATTTATTAATTAAAACCGCAACTTCTGCTAATAAACATAGCATAAAAATAGACAAAATAAGTGTAATTGCCTTTTTTCCAAAAAATATACTGTATTTTGCATGATAATTCAGAGCCTGATACAAACCCCTTTCAATCAAGAAAACGCTTTCCATTTGTTTCATGATCTTTAGTGAGTCTTCTGGCTGTGTTTTACTTGGAGGAGGCAGGGGAAGGTCACCTGCCTCCCAGTCCTTCCCACACGACAAGCCATGCAGAGGCTTGGAAGGCTGTTGAGGTGCTTGGAGGAGCTGTCTGACAGCCAGTGATTCCTCCTGGTCCCCTCCTGGGGCACATGCCTGGGTTATCTTAACATCTGATGTTTAGAAACTCAGTTCCAGCAAACTCTCTATTTGTAAGTGGTCCCTGTATAGTTATTAATTCTTCTGATACAGATTGATTTTTAGCTTTTTTGATCTTCCCTCCATTAATTGATGAACTTGAGAATTTATGGAGAACAGTCTTAGTTCCTCTTAGCTTTTGTTTTGCCAAACTGAATGAGCCAAATTCTCCTCTAACTTGTAAAGACAGCTCCAGGATCTTCTGGTGATGCTGGTGGACCTTCACACAGTCTTCCCAGCTGGAACCACCTTCTCTCAGCATGGGTGGACATTGTACTCCAGATGATGCCTCACCACTACCTTGAGCAGTGATAGTAACCCCTTCCACTGTTTCTAGAGAAAGTACTTGCCCTGGTATGTCTCACACTTGAGAGTGGGTTTTTGTTCTGTGGTTTCATTAACATCGACAGTTTGTCGCAAGATATGACCTAGTGAGGGGGTTTCTCTTCATCTACCGTTTCAGCTATTGATGTTGCTAGAGGAAACCTAGGTTGTTAGAGGAAGCCATCATATCCAAAGATAACCTCCTGGGGATGTTTTGATGGCAAACATGATATAGGCTGTGAGGGGAGGTGTGATTGCTTGGATAGGCAACTGCAGCCCAGTGATGGCCAGGCTTAGCTGCCTCTTAGCAGACCTCCACGACCAACTGTTCTGGTAGCTGATGAACTAACGGGATCTCCTCTGCTACTAGCTGGTGGTTTGAATTTCATGTGAGTAAAAGTTGAGTGTAGTAGCGTGTTTGAAGTTATGCTTTTGGAATGGTCTCTTAGGGCTTATTTACATGCAACTACAACTGTCCTGTGATTTACAGCTGGGCGGCTGTGGTGTAAATGT